ATTATCTTCATTTCAAATATTGACATAAGGTGCGGTATGAGTCCATTGAAATTTATCGTGAAAAAAATGTTTCACTGATAGAAAATGTTCTCCACAAACAATTCTTGATTATTATTACAGCAAATATCATCAAAAATTCACTACATAAATTTCTATATTTATGTCTAACTATGTTAAATCATCAAAAGACTTCATAAAAAATTTACATTACATTCATTAATCATTAAATAAACTTACTGACTAATCAAATTATTTATATAAATATTAACAAAAAAAAATGTATGAGAAGAAAATATGTTTTTTAACGTAATGAAATTTTCAAGTTCAATTTCATTTCCCTCTGAGTGGTCCCTAAGCACTTTATTAATGAATTCCTCGTAATAATTGTCGTTTATATTTCACGATGCATGAATCAACATATGAAACGATTAATAAGAGATGGAACCGTTTAATCTTTCTTCATAAATACAAGCACGTGCTCATCTCTCTCGTTCTTATACTCTAACATCTGTGCAAATATCAGACGCTCCTATGAACGCGGGAAACCGCACGACGGCCGGATTAATCTCGGAATTTGTAGTGGAAATAAAAACATATTTACTCTCAGCAATCATTCTCCTATGAATACGATTGGATAATAAAAAATATTAATAAAAATCTACAATATAAAATATAAAACGAACAAAATAAATTACTTTTTAATTCAAGAAGCTTAAAAAATAACACCTTAGTTTGTACTTTTTTCTTTTATTAAAATATGCATTCTACTTTATATCTTATTTTATTCCTTTGAATATGTATTACATATCTCTGTTTTATCGCTAAAAGGTTTTTGTCCTGATCTCCTGGTGCGATGCCGCCCGGTGCGTTTACATGTTGACTACAAAGTGTTCTCTTTAAGAACAAACGTAAAAGACAACAAAAGAAAGTAAGAAGTGAGAGAAAAAGTAAGAAGAAAAATTTCTCTGTCAAGGGTGACAGAGCTGTTGTTTTTTTTCAACCACAAGAACATCCGCTTATTTCTTCGTTTAGCTTCTTAATGAATGTTATAATTTTTTTCTTCATTAATTCTCTCGGCTATTACATTTTTTACACGCATTTAACTAAATTCCCAACCATCTTATGATAATAAAATAAAAAGAAATGATAAAATGCTTAAATTTATTTACCAACTCTATTTCGAAGCAAACCTTCCAATTACTTGCGTGATGGATGAATTGTTATGGCTACATGTGGCCATTTATGTTCCGTAATATCCCTACTCATAGTAATAGCTATAAGTATATGCTATAGATAGCCAATGCCTTCAAGCCTGTCTTTTCTTTTTTTTGTAACTGCAGAAGCTAGAGTAAACTGTCTCACTGTTCTTCTTCAAACAGTTGGTATAAAACTTTATAACGTAAGAAGAATAAGAAGCGAAAACGTGGCGTGCTTCGAGAAATATTACAGACGGAAGCAAAAAAAGAAACAACTGAACAGTCGACATAAAAATATTAGTGTGCACTTTTCAACATCACATAACATAAGAATTGGAGTTAAAATAAAAAATGTCAATGAATTTAAATGAAATATGTATTTTTTTTTTACGTTTCCCACGCAAGTATTATGTTAATTAAAAGCATGATATATTAAACAGTAGGTCACATAGAAAATGCACTATTGGCCGAGAGACAGAGAATGCTAATTACGGATCTCGTCTGAAGTCATTGCTTTTACATTCACGAGCGGAAGACGAGCGGTTCTGCACGTGTAGAAGCGCAATGTCGTCATTCATTACAGAGTCTCATTGGAAAAGGTAAAGTAGCGAATAGCTTCTCGAGAAGCTGCTTTTAATCTTGAAAAAATCTTGAGATATATCCAACCGTATAGTAAAGACTCCAAGTCAGACTTGTTATGTTGGTATGCTTCTTTTCTATCGTCATCATATTCAAACAAACTTCTTCTTCCTTTTTATTTCTTGACTTCCATACTTTTTTTTCTACTGCACACATACTATCTTCAATTTATTCCCACTATTCTCTTGGCAAAAAATTATATAACCTCTTCATTAAATCCGAAAGAGAAAGTACAAAAGAAAAACAAGACTCATTTGGAAATAGAAAAAGTTTTTAATTTGCTTCATTCAACTGTCTCTCTACATAATTTCGTTGATTGCAAATTTAACCAATTAGTAAAATCATTAATTTTTAAGTAAAAAGTAAACTACCTTAAACAATTTACAATAAAAAATAATCGTGTGCCTTTGTATCTATTGGAATAAAAAGAAATAAAAACAAAAACTTCAAACAATATATAAATAAATTATTCACATGATCAATCCAAATAATAAACCTTGATAAAAAAAAACCCTTGGATGGTTTGTGTAAATACAAATATAACAGAAGATATAAACTCGAGTTCAATATAAATACCAATTCATTATTATTACTCGTCATGTCTATTAAATACCATTGTGTATGCTCCAAAACACAGGTTCATATTAAATGAAAAACAGATTGGTTAAAATATAATTATTTAACAAATTCAATCCAACGAGTATAGAGGAGATAGATTCTACTACGTTTTTGTAGTTAATAAACTTAGTTCTGTCAAACAAATTATTTATCATTTTTGAATATTAATTAAATAAAGAAACTATCGGAATAATGAAGCATAACCGAACGATGTCAGAACGATAATTGAATAGGTAGCACTATTTGAGGGATATAAACAACTAAATTGAACAAGTAAACTAAATTTCATGTTTCTGGCTTTGACTAACTGCAATGAGATAGCGAAACTTGTGGGAACTCTGTTTCGTAAAACAGATGACTACATACCAACTAACGGAGATGATTGCGAAATCTCAATTTTGCTATACCGCAACAACACGATTGATTTGATACCAACGGAAATCAAGAAGACGATGTATCATCATAGCTATTTGTATTTCGTTGGAATCAAACCTATTGATCAATGATAAAGACAGCAATAATCAAACAATATACAATAGACCCATAAAGAGATGATGATAGCAACAAAATGCTCGCAGTCATGACTATGGAATAATTAATTAATGATGATAATCGTGATCAAACTGATACTTGATGTCCTTTGTAATTTCCTGTAATTACTGAACATAACATGCACGCATATAAGTGTATATCGACAAACTCAAACCATACAGGCTCCAGAGTCTGGCTGGTAAATTCGATTACCGGATCAACTGGAGAGAAGCACATCGGAATTAATATCCGTTCGGTTAGTTACCAGAAACTTGATAAGGAAGGCTTACAGTTCATGATAGTATCGGTGCGTCTGGTAGACTTTGCACACTGATGCTGAAGCCGCGTTCTGTAATAGCATCTTCTATCTGTTCGCCAAGGAATGGAAGTTAGACAACAAAGTCAGATCAAAACTACTTTTAAAAAAAAACTCATGATGAGTAATGGGATATTTTAGAAGTTTATTTTAAAACAAAAACCTTCTTTTTCTTATCTCTTTTGAATTTCAAATAATATTTTGTTTTTAACTGTTTAGAAATACCGCATTTTTAGCATAGTTTATGGATACTCGAAAATTCTCTCTTCCTGGTTACTGCATTATCTTGCGTGAGAAATTAAATTCCATGGATCGTTTAATAAACTGCACAGTATCTGTATAAATTAATTTAAGCGTGATATAAAAAAATATTTTGTATTTAAAGACTAAAAAAAAAATGTAGTATGGTGGTTTAATAAATTATCTACATGTTCAATGTGCTTTTCACGCGCATACATTCCTGTATAGAAATTTGTGGTTATTCATTTCCACGCACGAGCAAACAATTCACACGGGATCGTACGCACAAACTTTAGCGTCCATGCAATGCTCACCACGATAAACTCACTAGCCCAACCAAGACCTACCATTCCACATTCCATTCGACCGTCTCTCCCTTGGCACGTAATGAAGTCAGTGCCGGCGCTTTTAAACCCTCTAGTAATATCGCGTGGCAGGGCCGTTGAGATAATATTAGTGATGTATGCTAACGGGCTTTTTGGAACCCTGCTTGTACGATTTTTTACGTTCCTTTCACTACATATTCATTCTTAAATGATTTACTCAGGTACATTTCGACCACCGGAAAAACCTTTTGGGGTCTCCCTTTTCCTCCTTACTTAGATCCTCTAACACAGACGTCAAAAGTGGAAACGACTTCCTTACTGTTTACCCTTAGCATATTCGACGACCATTTCTATTACACGACGTTTTTATGCTAGATTTTTCAGCCTTTAAAATCCTTATTATTCCTTTTGAAATATGTTGGAAGAAAAATTAGTTATTTGAGAAAGAAAAAAATACTCTTCATACACGAGTAATTTTATTGAGAATTTTTCATAATTCTTATTTTAGATCCAAGAATTTCACTTTTCTTGACAATGGATTTTCAAAATAAAAATTTATCGAAAAAAACAACGTTCAATATTGGAGTAAATGAAATACTTTCGCTGTAAATAGAATCTTGTAGACTATCATGATGAAAAAAAATATGAACTTGATGAAAGTATAATTAGGATCATAAATATATCATGTTAATTGATGAATTCAAATTAATGGTATATTAAAATTCCATGTATTATTTATAAACTGTGAAATTGTCTGAATAGATAGATCAATTGCTCTTGAGCTAGATCGATGAATTTTAGCTAACCCTATGTTGCTCCAATCAACCAAGCGTGACTCCCTGAACTAGCCTTCTGGCAGGCGAAGGGTGACAGGTCGATTACGCGTGATCGAGACTACAACATGGTTCCTGAACACGTGCGTTAGACGTCGTGTATCAAAGCTCAACGTCTGTCACTCAAACCGTAAGATCATTAACGATTTAAATGAATGAAAAATAAATACAACAAAAACTCCAATTTATTGGGGTAATGACAAGTAGCTTGAGAATCCAGTGGTAGACACGCAAGGTCTTACGTCTTCTTTTGACAGTGGATTGAGTTTTTTATTAAACGAATTGAAGTAAAAGGACAAACCTTTGTGATGCCGCAAATGTGAGCGACCGCAGCAAGGTTGTTCGAAGTAAGCATGGCCTGGATGAGAACCGGCTGGTCTGTTAGCCTCACTTGGTCCTAGAAGTTGGGCCAAAACAGCTGCTAGTACAGCTGCCTTCACTAATACCATTCCACCTCTTATTAAAGATCTTCGTTGCATCTTCCCTCGTTGTTTGTATCCCAGAGAGTACTCCAAACAATATTCCACTAATGTGCTTTGTTAAATGATTATACGCACTGTTTACTCGTCACTTAAACCACCAGCATCACCTGGACATGAGATTGAGTTGCACAAAAATATAACAAGGACATTGACAGCTTAATTCTTATATTTTGTATCCTCTTGACCTTGAATATTTAGCCTCGTGGTACTTGGTTGTTGCCCTCGCGCTTCGTTGCGCACGGACGGACATTCACCGGTCGAAGAAACGTCTTGTGGTTGTTCTGCTTCTTATCCACCACCACCACACACCACCACGAAGATCAGTGTGTTTTATTGCGAGGACAAAGGAATTCCACTCTATCTCGTGAAGTACTTTGAAGTTATGTAGAAGTAACAAAAAATTTTACTCCAAAATGAGATATCCAAATTTCTCGAGAATACGTTGTTATTTTATTTTTCCTAGAATTTCAACCGTTGCTCCAAAGGCTTCACGATATGTCATCCCATGCGGATGTTTTAACATTCTTTATTTACGATACTCCAAAGTGTTGAAAAACCAAAACCATAGAAAATTTGTTTTTTCCCTTTTACATATATCCCATCACTGTTAATTACATCGACGACAGTGTAAATGTATACAGAAGAAGATTAACTCTGACATCCAGTTGAAAACATACACACTTGCTTTTCTTCCGCCTTGTTCTATCACTTGTCACGTTTAGCTGACTAACTGAGAAAATTGTAACACGTCAAACTAAATACATAAAATGAGAAAGCAGCCAATATACTCAACGTCACATTTGTTACTTAAAATTTTGGCAGAAGCGCCAAGCGTCACTTTGGTGGCAATGTTACCAACGCTGCCATGTTTTTGTTTCACTTTTCGAACATAACGTCCATTCGACAGGTTTCTGTTGCATTTGATGATGATTTTATTCAATCTAACATGACCAGCAGTTATATTAAACACTCAACTGTAACACCATACATTAATTAACCGTAAATTCAATCAAGCACACGTTTTTTTATTGTCGCGAAAAATAAATTTAAATTGACGACACGACACATAAACCTCCTTTGCCAGAGGTTGCGGCACGACTGGCACGACTGTTGCCTTCACTCGGCTACTGCCACTCGCGAGCTACGTCCGACTCGGTTACTCTCGGCATTCGTCGGCCTATCTCGGAACAACTGAAGACCTCGACAAGCGTGGAGGTACTATGCAGACCCTGTCCAATCCGCACCTCCAACCGATGCTGCTCCAAGCACTACCCTCGGTGCCTTCGTCGTCTTTCTCACTTACCTTTCCCTTTTACTCATTTCCTTACAGTCTTTACACGATTCTCTCGCGCGCGAATGCTAGATCCCACCTGCCACCGACAACACACTAAGGTATTACCTGCGTGAGAACCTGTCACGCACTCTATGTAGATATTGAGAATTAAAAATTTCATTACGATTCAAAATAAATGTTTTATCGACACTCTTGTTATAATTATTATTAAACGATGATTAAATATCGACGATAATTTATTTTAATTAATAACGAAAATTTATTGAATAAAATCCATTCGATGAATATTTATTTCCAATTGAAATATAAATTAATGAGTTTTAGTATTCATAAATATTAAATTAATATTTTTGTTTTATTTTTGATAATTAAATTAATATATGTTTCATCAGAATAAGTTTCTATTTTTATAATTATGCTCGTATTATTTATTAAAATTATTTATCTATCAGTGTTTATATGAGTTTCTAGAGTTCGTTCTCAGTAACTTTTTTTTCAATCAGAGGTGTTTTATTTGTTTCAATAATTAATCATGAAAATAGTTAAATATTAATTCAATGTTGAAATTTTATGTTAGTTATTACGATTTTTTTTAATAATTTGTTTGAGAATAAATATTTATTTTATTTTATATATGGAGTATTCAAAAATTTCACACAAAATAGTTTGATTAAATTATGAATTTTCGTGAAAGTAAATTTAATTAATAATCAAGTGTCTTAAATAAATATATTTTTTTCCCTTCTCAATTATTAATAAAAATAGATGTTATCACCAATAAAAATGTGGTGGATTAGATTTGAATTGAATTAGTGGCAATCCACCAATTTGTACTGATTAAAAGTGATTTAATTTACAAAAAATTATTTAATTCAAATTCACCTGATTTTATAGAATTGTGAGTTTTGTTTAGTTAAATATTCAAAATTCATTTAGAAATTTATAACATTTAGTCCTCTATAACGTACAGAACATTTTTATTAAATGAATAAAATATTATTTTACAATATTTTCAACGTAATCTTGATTTTTTTTTTAAATAAGTTGTTCAAGAATTATTCTATGTCCATATGAGAATTACTCTGATAATAGGAATGTTTTATTCTTATTAATAAATGATGAAGAAAATCATTATATCAATATTGTACTAGTGGTAAATATTTAATTTTTATGTTGATGTTATCATTATTTATTTTATTTCTTCCTAGCTGATGTGTTATCCTACATAAAGTTTTTATACCTGTTATTTTTTTTATTGTTACTAATTGATAACAATAAAAATATAACTGCAATCCTACAGGTGATCATGAAAAATTTGATACATTTTATATTTTTCCGTTATTAAGTCTTTCATTTGTTTATTTATGCTTGCTGGTTGCAAATATTTCCACTATCGACCGTATTTTATTCATAATATTTTTTTGTTCAGTACTCGGAGTAATAAAAATTCTCTTTTGTTTGTTTGAAATTCAAGGGAGGAAAACATTGCATATTACTAATAACGGTCATCTATGAATTTTGAATGATCAATATTTTGGAGTGTTTTATGAAAAAAATATTCATAGAATAGTTTTCTTATTATATGTATGATGGTACGATCATGATTTAAAAGTGAAACTAATATCAAAAATTTCTGTTTAAATTTTAAGACTGGAATTTCGCAGGTTCTTGGCTTTCCTAAGTCTTTACTGAGTGGTAAAAGCAAGAAAAGAAGGAAAGAAAGATAAAGAGAAAGTGAGAGAGGACGTGGTAGAGTGGCGACGAACAGTAAATCCCATTTCATTGAAATAGTTTAGAATTTCATGAGATTCTAGAACCACGCGCGCCTGACGCTTTTTGCGCTTTTCGAAAGCTTCTTCGGCGAAGTCCCTCAACTTCTAGAGAAAGCATATAAGACGATCAGCAATTCGAGTTATGCTACAGTGCACATTTGACGTTTCATTTGTGAACGAAGTTAAATGTTCGAAAGCTTCACTTGGAGAAGTCTTTTGCGAAAGACCAGGAAAAAAAACCGTCATGTACTCAATTTTTAAGAAAAAAAAAAACTTGTGAAACCTTCTAATGTAGTGATCGCCAACTACTAAAATTGTGACATATGGAAACTGTTCAATGAAAAATGAAAGATCCCATACATTTTTCCATCTTTCAAGAATTTCTTCAGTAGAAAAATCTAGTAACTTGGCAATACCAAACTTTCACTCTTGTGCTACTCTTGTCGTAGAGAAGACTTATGAAAAGAAAAATTGTGAGGCCAGCTAAGAAAACGTTAAGCTCGCGTGACATGCAGACGCGCGATATTCTTAAGGTAAAAAAAAAAATATTCGATCTTCCGCAAATATATACGACTTAAAAATAAATATCCGCCTAGTTCATGCACATACCCATGCGCAAGACTTACAACCTTCCTATACATACATAAAAGCCACCTAGAAGAACTTGATCTCTCGTATAATTTCCATAAAACTTCTGATCGTTCTTGAGCACGTTCACACAGCAGTTTTGTCGAGATCTTGTCAGTATATATACCCATTAGAGAAATACATACATTGTCGGGTTTTGTAAATTATTCCTAATGTTTCTTCAATATTTTAAAGTTGAATGTTTTTTTAATCGACTAAATTTCTTTCTTAACTGTTTGAATGTCTAATAAAAGTAAATAACGTTATAAAACAACATCGTTTACGATGTACAACTTTTTGAAATGGCTTCAAAATTTTTAATGTCCAATAGAATTTTTATTAGTACATGAAATAAGTTAATTTTAAATTTTCTAGCTACCACAATTTTAATATTTTAATTTAACCTTAAATATAAATAACTTCAATTTCTTCTTAATTAATTTATGTATTTATTGATCAAACTTTTATTTTTATACCTTGCTTATAGTTTGTAAAATAAATTTTTAATTTCAATTTTAAATTCCATCTCGGTCATATAAATTGCATTTTTTATCATTTTAAAAACTCAAAACAAATACGAAACTATAAAAAAAAATATACAAGATGTTGTCAAGAAATCTTGAAGTTTAGATTTAAAATTCGAGTAGTCTCGTGAATACTTAAGAATACAAATACATGCCAGTGGCGAGAAAAGAAATAAAGCATAAAGAAGTAAAACGGCTGGTTTGATGCTAATGTCTTCTTCTTCTTGACCCTCTCACCAGCCAAGATACCTCACTGGACCCCACTAAATTATACTTAATATCTACACGGCGTACCCCTCACTTATCCTCGTGCTTTGTAACACATGTTTTACCCTAGCACCTCACTCCTATTTCTTCGGTTTCCACCCACTGTCTTGTTTCAAGAATAACAGAAGATTCACCAGAGAGGGAAATTTTATCCTATACTTCACTTTCATCTCACTTTGACGAATTCAGCTGGCATAAGATTCAGTCTGATCTTTCTTTGTTCTAAAGGATCGACTTAGCTACCACGCCCAAGACGTCTGACCGTCCCTTAATTTAAAAACCGACAAAAAACTCTCTCGACCTCTATTATGACTAAAGAGACGTTGAAGACAATTAAATTAACGAATAAAGAATTATTTTATCATGACAATTTAATTCTTTCCCATTTTAAAGAAGCTCGCATTTTATTGCTTAAAATTCATCTTCAATTAACTGTGTTATATTGCAATAAATAGCAATGAATTATTAAGTGATTAAATTGAATTCATATTTAATGAATTTATAATTTAATTAAATCAAACATAGTTAATAAATGAACTGCAATTGTATTAAAGCGAACAGAAATGAAATGATTCAAAGTACTTTAGAAAAATGACTCTTTTAATTCACCTAATTTAAGGAATATGCATTTATTAATATTAAACTGGAAAATGAACTTCTAGTTGGCATTTTATTTAATTGAACGTTTCGTCAACTTTTTAATCATCAAATATTTTAAAATAAATGACATTTCAACCGAAAGATGTATTTTAATTTATTCAATTGGGACAATAATGTTGATGACAATTTTAGAAAAATTAATTGTATAATGAATTCAATTATCTAATGGAATTGAGTGTATAATTACTCTAAAAAAGAAATATATATTGCTATTTGATAATCATTGCCTTCATTATTGAATTTAACACCGGAATCCACCGAGCAGATCTAATTTTCTTCTAATTATGTTTGACGATCAACGAATTAAACAGGTTATAAATATTTAGTCATTCTGATAAATTGTTTACTGAAGATGATGTTTATAATTTTGACAAATTATTGTGATGTAATTAATCTCTCGGGACTAAAGTCATCTGTTGTATACGATCGATGAATGAAAATAAATTTTCTATACAGAAAAAAATTTATTGATCTTTTTTCAAGTCAGCATTAAATTTATTCAATTATTTTCATGATCAAAAGTAATCTTTGGAAATAAAAAATCAGAAACCTCTAGAGTGCCCTCTGGGACTTACAACATAATTCCAACAATAATAACAATCACCGGAATCTACTTAATTCCGTTAACATTTGTAGAATTCTTAGAGTGAATGTGTTGAGTATTACTAAATCGAATTAATGCTAGCAAGGGCTATAATTCTCCTTTGATAAAGCCATTCAGGATAACAAGCAAACTGAGATGGGAATGTACAGAAGAGAATGACAAGAGGCTCACAGAAGAGCCTGGGTAAGTGCTTGGGCAACTGATATGCACACATTAGTCGTAGTAATGGTAGTGGTAAAGCTGTGTTTATTGGTAGTAGTATTCGAGCTTTTTACCATGAAACAGGTGCAAACCTTGGACTGGCTTAGTCGTTGGGATCGACACAAGTGATGATGGAGCTATGAC